ATCACAGCTTCTGACTCGGTTGTAAGATTTTAAAATTAATTTTTTTTTTCACAATGCAATAGGCTCTAACATTTCCTGTTTTTTTATGGTACAATTGTACAATGTTTGCACCATTGTAATGTCATTAATAAAATGTAAACATAATCTCATTTTATGAAAAAGGCATCTATTTTTTATTCATTTTTATTTATTTTCACTTACAAGTATGCATTTGTGTTAATTAATTACTTGGGTAGCTTTAGAAATATTATTTATTAATATTAATATTGTTTTTTTTAAAATTTATATCTCACATTTAAATTTAAGTGACATTAAACCCTAAGATTTTTTAAACATAAAACAATACTGTAATGTGCGCCGTCCTGTAATCCATGGTAGTTTCCCTTCTCTTTGCTGCTCTTCCTTTTAAATCTGTATCTGTTCTCATGCTGGGCAGAACTTCTGTTTTGCAGCAGACTGCCTTGTCTCAGGAATGGATACACGGCGTCTGTGTATAGGTTTGTATAGGCTTGTAACCTGAGCCAGCACTACAGGAAGAGGCCCTGAGTTGAAAAGGGAAGTTCTCCCCAAGCATGAGAAGACATGAGGATTTAAAAGGAAGAGCAGCAAAGAGAATGGAAACTACCATGGATTACAGTAAGGCGCACATTACAGTATTGTTTTATGTTAAAAAATCTGACGGTTTAATGTCACTTTAAATTTAGTTTGTATGATTCTTGGGTTAATTTTTTTTCTTTTTTGCGCCAATAACATCAGTTTAACTAGAACTGATGAATGTCTATCTTTTGAATGTCGTCTATATACCTTGTTTTTTTTAAATTTTTATTACAGAATACTGTATAGCTGCAATTGAACAGACCTATTTATTATGATTATTATATTTACTCTCCTTTTGTAAGGATTTGAATATAGCCAAATTTCTCAGAGCTGAGAACAGACATACTTTTTTTTTTAAGCTAGTGGGGCCTGTTATATTCCATTATGAAAATAGTGCGTCTTCTTTAGCTGGTCAAAATACAACTTTTTTTTTAAATCAAGAAAAAAATGTTAACATTGAGTGCAAATTTTAACATAGGAATCTAATTTATAACATTAAAATATATATATCGTATCGGATATATTATTGGATTTGATTCTACTCATGTTTATTGTATTGTTGTTTATGCAGAACTTTTAGTGCGCTTTTATACTCTAAAAGAGGATCCATATTTAATGCAACTTTAACAAGGCGATTTTAAATAAACACAAAGCTTAATTACATTAAAATGTATCATTTGATATTTTATTATTGACGTAATGTTATATTACTCAACAATTTTAGTGTCTATTTTAAGCTGCACACCTGGCGTTCCTGTGCGTTTGTCAAATGTTAGAATTTTTATTTTTTTAAAAATTGAACAGACATGACTTTTGACCTTTGCAGTACTTTTAGGGCTTGTTCACACGCCGTCCGGATTCTGTCCGGACCATAACAGTTCGCTCCTTCACTAAAAATGCATCCCAATGTATCCCTATGCGTTTTATGGGCTCCAGTTCTCACCAGCGCAGTCCGTTCCGGACAGAAAAAATACCGCATGTCACATTTTCTCTGCTCCGGAACGCGCCAAGAACGCAACGAAAACGCGTCAAACGCAGCGCACTTCAGTTAACAGCTGACAGCCCCACTCCACAAAAAAAGGAACTGGAACGCGTCAAAAACACGCCGCACGCATAGCACCACATTTGCAGATCTACACCAGAAAATGGTGTGAACAAGCCCTTAAATATGATGGCAGAAGGAATACAACTGAACTTCACGGGTTGTAATAATTTACACAATTTTGTCATTTTTTTTCCGACATCCTTGACTACCTATTAAAGCCTTTAAAACATTTTTTTAAAATTATAATTTTAAATTTAAACATGTCTTCTGAAATCCCTAAAGTTAAGAGTCAGACTTTTTAGTGAGGAAAAGAATACAGCATACCTGTAAAGTCCATTTAAAATGGTTATTTTAGTGGCCCATACTTCTCAAGTATAGGAAAATTGCCATACGTCTGAAAGAAAAAAAAAAAAAAGAATAGTTGTATTTAAATACATACGTACAAGGAAACGGGAACGTTTTAACTTAAAATCCAGTTCCCCAAAAAGCATTAAAAAAAAAAAAAATCCCGCAACCTAACCCTCCGTGAAAAAACAAAAACAAAACAAATTCTAAAAATGCTGCCATTTATAACAAACAATCAGAAAAAATCTGCAAGGCTTAGTCGACAGAAAATTTGTCCTCAACGTTACAAAAGACCTGCGTTTATAAAATAGGGTAGAATAAATCAGTGTATTCATTTTAAAACTATACAACGTACAAATTACTCATCTGAGTGGGCAGTTAGGCTCTCTTTGCAACCATGTCTACGCAACACACACGGAAAATCCACTGAAAAAAAAAAAGTAAAAATAATAATAACCATAACAACAAAAAAAAGGAAAAAAACCCCCCAAAAAACCTAACTAGAACTGCCCGAAAAAACTATTGCTTATTTTGCGTGATTTATAAAAGGGTGCGTTTTTGTTGTATTGTATGTACAACCGATTTTCTGGTAACGCCTTGACTTAGAGCAAGGATTTTTGACAAAAAGTTTTTGTCTAGGCTTTTATTTCCCTTCACTGTGAAGCACTGCAAGCTGCTATTTTAGTGCACATATGTCATAAGGTAATGCCCAGCTAAGTGCTATAGGGAAGGCAAAGGATGCTGGATACACAAAATGGACACAATTCACTAATACACGCACACGCGCACGCACACACACAATACAACTACTCAACCACATATCAGATACATATGAAAAAAATCCAAAAAACATTTTATTCATTTATTCTTTTTTTTTTTTTCTTTTCTTAAATAGAGAGAATCGGTAAACATTTTTCGTTTTTCAGAAGTTGGAAGTTTTTTTTTTTTTAAAACGTGCATATATATATAAAAAAATGAATTCAGGTTTTATTTTTTTTTTAAGTTTTTGTTTGTTTTAAGGCTTGCTTGTGATAGGAAACGGTTGTAACACGCACACCACACGAGAGAGAAAAAATAAAATAAAAAAAATTGCTCAAAGCGCAGGGTACAGCTTAGTGCTTCACAGTCTGACTGCTTCTCTAAGAGCCCCCGTCCTGCATGTGCATTCGTAGTCACAAAGGTACGATGACTAAACATCTAACATACTGCGTCAAGTACAGCACCAACCAACTTTGGTCAAATAAAAAATAAAAATAATAATAAAAATCTAATAAAATTTGCTAAGCTTTGACTACATGATATAAGCAGGTATTGCATATTTTTTTTCCATTGTTCTGGGAAAGAAAAAAAAAAAAAGAAAAAGGAAGACTAAATAAATTGTCACAATGCAGCAAACATCCCCCTCCCCCCCAAAAAAATACTGATCTCCTACGCAAAAATAGCACAGACACTATAAGACTAAGCACGCTACTTCTACAGGTGGGATTGAACTAAAATCTATATCTATTTTACTAATGAAAAAAAAAAAGAAAGAATAAAAAATAACTATTTAAAAATAACAATAATAATAAAATGAGGAGCAAAGTGTCTTTCCAAGAATTTCGTGGACATGAATTGTATAGGACAGTAAGCAAAAGCCCTTATCGGGACTAAAAACAGACTGAACACACATATAGTTTAACTCCTTCATTGCCAAAAGCGGACAAGTGGGCCTTCTTTTGGCAGCATTTGGGGGGATAGGGAGAAACAAAAAGTTAAAAAAAGAAAAGAAAAGAAGGCAAGTGCCTGGAATAGGGATTAAAATGTCTTGTCTTAATGCACTCTACTTTTATCCTACTTTTAAGTATATAAAAATGAATTACTAACACTAAACATGCAGAGATTTTTTTTTTTCTTTAAATTTGTTCTGACTGACAAATGTGCCGAGCAGAAAGTATATAATATATGTATAGTATAGGAAATCCCCTTTTTTTTTTTTTAAGTTGCATGCGAAGCAAAGGGACGCTCCGCTGTCTTGTAGAAAATAAACCAAGTGTATCCTGTTTTATTTAGGCTTTTGATTTTTTTTTTTT